AAAAAAAAAAAAATTACGTATGTGAAACTAAACTTCAGAAAACATTATTTTGGGTCATTATAAAGTAACATGAAGTCACTGAACAGAATTTTGGGGAAAAAAATCCCAGTAAGATATAAAGAAGATGGGTGGCGCCTGTGGCTCAGTGAGTAGGGCACCAGCCCCATATACCCAGGGTGGCAGGTTCGAACCCGGCCCCAGCCATACTGCAACAAAAAAGTATCTGGGCATTGTGGTGGGGGCCTGTAGTCCCAGGTACTTGGGAGGCTGAGGCAAGAGAATCACTTCAGCCCAAGAGTTGGAGGTTGCTGTGAGCTGTGACGCCACAGCACTCTACCAAGGGTGACAAAGTGAGACTCTGTCTCTGAAAAAAAAAGATACAAAGAAGAAAATGAAAATAACCTACATTCCATCACTGATAGATAACCTTCCAGTTTGTGTGTGTGTGTGTGTGTGTGTGTGTGTGTGTGTGTGTAGGTAGGTAGAGGAAAAAAAGGAGAAGCATACGTTCAGGTAATTTCAGAATGTTATGTTTTATACTTTTGTAGTTTTTTGTTTCTCATTTGGTGAAAGTGTTTTGCAAACTGTGGCTGCTACACAAACATGCAGAATTATTATCATTAGAGATTCCCAACAGGCAGTGGAGTGTATAATTCAAATTCTGCAGCCTCTCCACTTCAGGTGATTGTCCTCATGCCACCAATGCACCCTATTCTGCACCAAACCCCTTCTTCAGGGGCCTGCAGTGAAGGGTTGGTCATTGGGAGTTGGACCCTCAAGTCTTGTCCAGGAGACCTGTCCCAAATTCCCGGAATCCCTCATAGCTTGTGAAGCATTTCCCACTCACTTGATCCTCATGGCAGCCTTGCCAAGTTAGTACTGTTTGTCCCTTGCTATGGCCTAGGGAACAGAGGCCTGGACAGCCATGAGACCTGCTGAGGTTGACAGCTAGAAAGTGGAGGGGCAGGTATCCTCCCCATTTTGCCACAGGGAGAGCACGGGGGTCTGATCTGTGACTCCACACAGGAACCTCACTCTCTAAGGGAATAAGGTGGGGGGTCAGAACCACTCAGCCCAGCTCCTCTCCAGGTGCCTACTGGGCTAATGGCCCTTCTGTTGCTCTTACCTGGATATTGGGGTTTGGGGCACTCAAGTCTGTGTTGGCCAATCTTGGCAGCTTCTGCAGCTCCAGCAGTGAGGGGGTGTCCTCCAGGGTCCCAGATGGGGTGGCCCTGCCTGGTGTCAGGGCTGCTGGCTCCATGAGAGTCTGGCGCCTGTGTTGGCGTGGCCCTGCCTGCAGGTGGGCTCTGGACAGCTGTAGTGACTGCTCCTCCTCCCTGGGAGAGCTGGGATCTGGGGAGGCTGAGGCCTGAGGGATAGAGAGGGAAGTTGAGGTAACTGAAGTCAGGGTCACCCCCTGTGGACCCAGAAAAGGTTGTCCAGGGCGACTCAGGAGCCACAGCATCTGACTCTCTGGGGTGTGTATGTGGAATGTAAAATCTAAATGATGCCCTCAGCAGACAAGTGAGGGTGTAGCTGCACAGACAGTAGACTATCACAAAGTGCTTTGACAAGTGACCCACCTGAGACATAAAAAGAGGGATTAACACACTACCCAAACTCTGTTTTACAGATGAAGAAATGGAGGCCCAAGAAGGGAATAGAGCTGTTGAAGTAACGGTCTCACTGTGCCCTCCACAAGTCAGAGCAGGAAGGCCCCTTGCATGGACCTGGTCTTAGAGGAAAGTGTGCGGCAGGCCTGGGCCCATCCCCTCAGCACACTCCCTGTCCACCTGGCCCTGCCCATCCGTCCATGTGGGAGGTACATTCCTTGGCCTCTCTGACCAGTTACCATCCTCCAGCTGCCCCTCTTCCTAATCCAGACTGTTGGTGTGGCTGCTGCCAGCCAGTCGACTCCCTCCACCAGCTACTGGCCATGGTGTCCATACCAGGAAAGTCCTTGTTTCAGCTCAGATAGTAGGTGAAAGGCAGCTTCTGGTTGTCTCTGATTCTTGCTCCTATATTCATCTGCCCAGATAGTGGGGTACCAGGGCTCAGGGGCTATCACCTACCTCCAGGTTGTAACTATTGTCCAAGGCAGAAGCACCTCCCAGGGCTATTCTATGAGTCTTGGGGACCTGGCACCTATAGTCTCTGGCTCACTCAGACCATAGCCTTGACCCCTCTGGTCTCATATGTGGGCAGTATGGTGGCAGAGAGTCAGATAGGCCTGAGTTCAAACCCCAGCTCAGCCTTCTAACTCCTTTAACTTGGCAATTTCTTCATCTGCAGAATGAGGATAATAATTCCTCTCTAGAAGGACTCCACAGCATTTACTGTGTGCCAGGCACCATTCTAAACAATCATTCTCTCATCCTCCCAAAAACACTCGGAGGTGGGTGCTAACTGCCTTCCCCGTGTTACAGACAATGAAAACTTAGGCACAGAGAAGGCTGGAAACTTGCCTGAGGTGGCACAGACTTGGTAAAGCCAAGAGTCTGGGCCTGAGCCCATACTCTTAACCACTGTGCTATAAGGTGAGAGGACTGAGAGTCCCCTTCACAAAGCTTCATCAGTCTATTTGCTCACTCTCTCTGACTCTCTTGGAAGTCTGGAAAAAGAGACTTAGAATCTTCTTTCCCTCTGTAACCAACCCCTTCTGTGGTCCCCAGATGCCTGGCTCTAAGGCTCCAGCACTAAATGCCTGGTCCCAGAGCAGCTGGGGGCTGGTGTTAGCCTGGGCTGGGAATCTCTCGCTGAGTCAAAGCACTCTGGTCTGGACAGCAAGGCCAGATGAGTAGAAGGTGGAAGGATGAGTAATGGGACAACTCAGCCCCTTCCTTGACCAATCCCAGAGGTCTGCAGTATCCCCAAGTGCTGCCTTCCTGGCAGCTCCCACCCACAACTCCACCAAAGCCCTAATTTCCTCTGTGACTTTGCTTAGTGGTTCCACTCTGACTGCAGCCTCTGGGACATAGACAGGCAGTCTCAGAGCGGCAGAACTTCAGGGTCACACAGCCTTTTGGTGACTGGGCTTGCCAGTAGCGGGTGGTGGAGTGGTTCTCATCTGAGGACATTTGTGATTGTCACAAGTAGAGGGGGATTCTATTGGCATCTAGTAGACAGAGGCCACATATCCTACAATGCATAGGACTGCCCCCCAGTTAAGAGTGTGGGCTCTAGGCCTAGACTCCTGGCTTTACCAGGTCTGTGCGAACCATAAGCACTTCCCAATTCAGAAGGGTGACAATGCCATAGTTAAGAAGCCCTGCCCTAGAGTCTGGCTGTTTGGGTCTGAATTCTGTCAGTGGCCTAACTTCTGATCTGCAAGGCCCTGGCAGGGGATGTGACCTCTGTAAGCCCCCTCACCGAGAAAATGGGAACGACGACAAGAATGAGCCTCACCGGGGCCCTGCTGTCCAGCAGGTGCTCAGAATGTTCCTTTTTAGCCCTCCCCCACACTCTCCTCTCCCTACTGCCCAGTCAGACCACGAGATGAGCAAAGGTGGAGAAAGTCCTGGGAACTGTCACAGCCAGCCATACTGCCTCTCCTCCCCTAAGCTGCTGGTGGAGCCTCCTGCCCTGTGGGTCAGGCTCCCCCGCCCCGCTCCGGGAACTCTGGGAGTGGAAAGAAACAAGGGTAATATCCTTCTTAGTTTGGGTTCTCTTAAAAAGCCTGCCCTTGAGACAAGGATTCAAGCACAAGCAGTCCCTTTGGAAGGTGATCCCAGGAGACACCAGCAGGGCATGGGGGAGTGAGACAGGGAGGGAAGGAGCTAATGAAGGATGCTCTGTCTGGCAGTAGCCAGGGTGGGCACCTCTGGGAGCCAGTTTGGTTCATATGCCCCAGGGTGATCCCACCAGAGTGGACAATCACTGGTTAAAGACTGCGGGAAGCAGAAAGGACTTGCTCTCCAGGCACTTCAGGTTGGACACTTACAGCTCTGAGCAGGCTCTAGTGCCAGTGAAAAAGTCAGGCAACTGAGCATGGGCCACTGGAAGGAAGGCCTGAGGAGAGACAGGTAGGGGACCCACAGTGCAGACCTGTACCCAACTTCTGGGCACATGGTACGTACCAGGCCGGCACCAGACTCTCTATGTGCCATCTGTCACTTGCTCCAACTAGAATGTTAGTTCAGTGCAAGGCAGGACCTTCTGTTTGCTTTGTTCACTGTGTCCCTAGTGCCTAGCACAGTGCCTGGTACAACAAATCATTGCTGAGTAAACAAATGAATACTAGCAACACTGAGGGGCAAGTATGACCAGCTTTATGTTCAAAATGAGGCTTTGGAAACTCAGGGAGGTTAAGGGACTTAGGTAAATCCTCAAAGGTAACAATAACAGAGCTAGGGTTGAAATTCAATTCTGCCTGGTTTCAGCACCCATGTGCACACATGCATGGCATGAGACATGCAAGGACATGCATGACATAGCCCCTTACCTGCAACCATGCTCTGCATTCACAAAGCACTTCCATTTCCATCATCTTGTCTGGCATGGAATGGGACAGTAATGGGTGCAGGCTGGAGGAGTCTACATGACCAACCTGGGTTCAAATCTCAACTTGTACACTTACTAGCTGTGTGACCTGGGGCAGGTTACTTAATCTGCCTTAGTTTCTTTCTATTAGGGAAATATCAGTGCCTGTTGTATAGGGTTGCTGAGTTGGAGTGGTGCCTCACGTGGTAAGCATGCAAAGAATGCCACCTGGAGGTGGTGATCGATGGTTCTCAGAGGGGAGAGGGAGGTGTGATAAGAAGCACCCCTCTTGGCCGGGCTCAGTGACTCATACCTGTAATGCTAGCACTTTGGGAGGCAGAGGCAGGCAGATTTTTTGAGGCCAAGAGTTTTAGACCAGCCTGAGCAACATAGCAAGACACTGTCTCTACACACACAAATTTATTTTTGTATTAGCCAGATGTGGTGGTACCAGGTGGTACCAGCCACCAGGTAATCAGGGGACTGAGACAGTAGGATCACATGAGCCCAGGAGCTTGAGGTTGCAGTGAGCTAGGATCACGCCACTGCGTTTCAGCCTGGTGACAAAGCAAGATTAATCATGTCTTAAAAAAAAAAAACATTTGGCTCGGCGCCTGTGGCTAAGGCGCCAGCCACATACACCTAAGGCGGTGGGTTTGAATCCAGCCCAGGCCGCCAAAACAACAATGATAGCTGCAACCAAAAAATAGCCGGGCATTGTGGTGGGCGCCGGTAGTCCCAGCTACTTAGGAGGCTTAGGCAGGAGACTCACTTGATCCCAGGAGTTGGAGGTTGCTGTGAGCTGTGACGCTATGGCACTCTACCCAGAGGGACAGCTTGAAGCTCTGTCTCAAAAAAAAAAAATTTGTACCCCTCTTTCCAGGCCATATCCCAGTTCTTTACATCTCATTCAGTCTGAAGAGCCCCCATCCCCACTGATGCAGAATCTCTCAGCAGCGGTATTCTCCTGGTGTTCTAAAGTGAATTCTAAGACTCTAGCCTGTCTAGAAACTCTTCCTATCTCATACGTCCCCCTCCCCCTGTCTTTTAAGCATACATGTGGAATTTCACTCATGCACAAATACACAACTCCATTCTGTGGCGGGGGGTTGCATTACTGCCCAGATACAGATGAGATACATCCTCACCAATTCTCTCTGTCTCTCTCTCTCTCTCACACACACACACCACACATCCACTTATGCTTACCCTCCCAAGCTTGCCAGTCAGCCCCTGTCCCGTGTATTCCCAGTTGGGATTACCAAGTCCTGATACCCACAGACCTCCTTGCCAGGCCCCAGCCCCCCTGCTTATCTGTCTCAGCTCCCTCCTGGGTTTTCTGTTTTCTCTTTTCCCTTATGCCTCAAGGGTCAGAAGTGGTGTCCTGGAGAGTCAAATCCAGTAGCCATGTGCAGGCCAGCACCTCCCCTCCCTGCAGCCCCAGTGGTGAGGCTGAGGTCCCTCCACAGCTCAGTCACTCTGGTCTCTGACTCTGAATGCCCACCATTCAACAGAAACAGCCTCTTTAGCACCATGGCAGGAGAATGGGGCTGTATTTCACCCCTTGGCCACCCTCCTGATTGGTATATACTACCTTTTATTTTTTTTTAATAAGATGGGGTCTTCCAGCCTGAGCAAAAGCAAGACCCCGTCTCTACTAAAAATAGAAAAACTGGCTTGGTGCCTGTGGCTCAAGTGGCTAAGGTGCCAGCCACATACACCTAAGGTGGCAGGTTTGAATCCAGCCGGGGCCACCAAAACAACAATGACAGCTGCAACCAAAAAATAGCCAGGCGTTGTAGCGGGCACCTGTGGTCCCAGCTACTTGGGAGACTGAAAGAGACTTGCTTGATCCCAGGAGTTGGAGGTTGCTGTGAGCTGTGATGCCACAGCACTCTACCCAGGGGGATAGCTTGAGGCTCAAAAAAAAAAAAAAGAAAAAGAAAAACTCACCAAGCATGGTGTATGCCTGTAGTTCCAGCTATTTGGGAGCCTGAGACAAGAGATCACTTGAGCCTAAGAGTTTGAAGTTGCTGTGATGAGTTTGAGAGCTGTGATGATGCCACAGCACTCTACCCAGGGTGACAGAGACTCTGTCTCAAAAAAAAAGAAAGAAAGAAAGAAAGAAAATGGGGGTAATTTCCATGTGAAATGATGTGACAATGAACAACATCATGTTAAGTAATTTGTGCGACTCTGTGAGACCCAGAGAATGTTCCCTTCCCTTCCATCATCCTCTACTTTTAGATCCAAGAGCTTTTGTGTTCTTTAATTTCTTCATTAAGGTCTTTGGGCTGGTCAGTTATTTCTGACACACCACCCAAGTCCCTAGAATAGCAGCCTGCATTCTCTCAACATGATCCCTTCACTAACACTTTTAATGTATAACAGCTTTAACACAAATCACACGGACCGAGGAACACTGTCAGAGCTGGCTGGGACCAGGGGGGTGATTTAGCTCCTCTTTGTAACATGAGGAAATCATCCAGGGTAAGTCACCCATGCATTAATGGGCCACTGGGACCAGAACCCCAAACCGTGGGCTCCAAGCTCTCATGGCACTAATTTGATTTAACATGTTTTTGAGGACTCTGCCAGGCCCTATACTGGGGACTAAGGATATGACTTTGGCTCTGAAATAATTCATCTTCCAGGCTGTTCTTGTTGGGGGAAGATTTGGCAAACATACTAAAAATAATTGCAATACAAAGCCATAGTACTAAAATAGAAAGGATTTATGCCAAGTGAGTAGAAACAATGCCAATTTAATAAATTTTATTACCAATATCATCTCTATCTAGGAAGGACTGGCCAGAGGCCTCTGAATTTGTCTACAGCAGTGATTCTCAACAATTGGCGGGGGTGCTGAGGTGTCCCTCAGAAAACATTTGGCAATTCTTAGGCCTGTCTGGAAGGAGGGTTCTACAAGAATTTGGTGGATAGAGGCCAGGGAAACCATTAAACATTCTACAATTCAGTAAAGGGTGGTCCCTACCACAAAATGACCAAAGTGCCAAGCAACCTGGTCCATGGGAGGCATTCTCCCATAGATGAGCAACCTGGTCTATGGGAGGCATTCTCAACAGGGGCAAAATTGGACTGGGGCAAGGGGCTGGAGGACAAAACATCTCAGATATTACAACGGTTTGTGACATTCCAAAGTGCCATAGTACATAAACAGTCTATCTGTGGAATTAAAACTTATTAATTAAAACTTCATGGGGGGCTTGGCACCTGTAGCTCAACAGCTAGGGTATTGGCCACATACACTGGAGCTGGTGGGTTTGAACCCAGCCCAGGCCTGCCAAACAACAACAACAACAAAAAAAAAAAAAAAAAAAAAAATAGGGCTTCAGCCCCATATACTAGAGGTGGTGGGTTCAAACCCAGACTCCAGCCAAAAACTGCAAAAAAAAAAAAAAAGCCAGGCATTGTGGTGGGTGCCTGTAGTCCCAGCTACTTGGGAGGCTAAGGCAAGAGAATTGCTTAAGCTTAAGAGTTTGAGGTTGCTGTGAGCTGTGACGCTAAGCACCTACAGAGGGTGACATAGGGAGATTCTGTCTCAAGGAAAAAAAAACAACACTTCATGGAGTCAGTGGGGACAGAAAATCAAATCTAAATCTCCTTAAGGAGTACAGGTAAAAAAGATAGAGAAGCACTGGGCCTACACACATACCCTCAAGCGCAGCTGGGGTCCCTTTCTTCTCAAGCCTGGACACCAGCAGCATAGCCTAAACTCTGGCTCTTACTCATAGTCTCCTGCACCCTGCATGCCTGTCTGAGCCCTCAGTGTTCTTATCTGGAAAATGGGAAGAACTTTTCTGGTCTTCTCCTGTAACAGCTCAGTGCATGGGAAGACCCACCCAAGGCCAGTTCCTGCCCAGCGTAATGCAAGTCTGGCTGGCTTTGTCCTCAGAGGTATGAATGTCCACTACAATCCAGGGGGCAACAAACTGACTGCAGATGCCTCAGAGACAGGAGATATAGGTCCTGACAGATTACTGTTTCTCTCTATGGCCAATACCATTCTTCCATTTCATTCCTGGTTTATACTTCCAAGGCCCACCGACAGGCCACCAGGAAAGCGCCCCGCCACATCTTAGTGATGTCTTCGGATTTTCCAGGAACATAACAATTTAGGAGTCTCTGGCTAAGCATCGCAGTTAGAGAGCCCTACTCTACCTCTGCTTGTCTCAGTTCAGACGAAAGGGGCTCATCTGACCCTCGGCAGCCCTGGCCCGCCACTGATAAAAGCCCAGTGTTCTCCTGGCACCGTGTGGGACTGGCCTCCGACTAGCGCGCACCTGGACAGGGCGGCTGCAGGCGAGGTTTGCTCAGGGAGAGGGAGGGGAAGCCGGGCCACTGCAAAGTGGCGGGTCCCTTCACTGGGCACAGAAGTGAAACTTCTTCCCGGCTGGCCCGCAGCAGCCCGCCAGGGCTCGCGGCCACGCGCAGGGAGGCAGACCTCCGGATCTGCGCACCTGGCGATCGCCCGGTGCCCCGGGGCGTCCCGCCCGCCCCTGCCTCTCTCCTTTGGTGGCGCTGCCTGCGTCCCGGTCCTGCTCCCCGAGCGGCCAGAGCCGGCGGGCTAGGGAGGAGGACCGCGCGCCGCAGCCCAGCGCCCCGCAGCCCAGCTCCCCGCCGCTCACCTCCGCCAGCCTCGCGTGGCTCTTGGTCCCCGGCCCCCGCGGCTTCCTCAGGGGGAGGCCCCGCGACGCGGCCAGCAGCGCTGCCAGCAGCCCCACGCCGAGAAGGAGTCCCGCTCGGCCGGGGAGTCGACGCATCTCTCCCTCCCGAGGCTGCTGTGCCCGCGCCTCTGCGCCCCCAGCCTCGCGGTGGCCAGCCTGTTCACGCCCCGCCTCGCCTGCTCCCGGGCGGGAGCGCGGGGGCTGCGGCGCGGGCCGCCAGCGCCGGGGACTAGCGAGGGGCGTCTGGACGGCCGCGAGGACGCGCGGGGGCCGAGGGGGCGCGCGCGGGGCGGGGGCGCGCACTCGCACACCGTCTCGGGCCCCCGCCGGCATGGGCACCCGCCCTACTCTCTGGGTCGGCAGCGGCGGACGCCCCCCGCCCTCCCCAGGGGTGGCTCCTGGGCGCTCTAGGACACGTCTTGGCCCAGCGGGAGGCTCCCTTTGATCTGGCCGCCTCCCCGCCCTCAGTCTTGGCTGCTGTCGCCGTCTCAGCCTCCAGCGAATTCCTTGTCCGGGGAAGTTGCCGCCCAGAGCTCTCCAGCCACTCGCGGCGACTCCCGCGGAGCAGTGAGGGTCCGGTGCTATCTCCGCCCTCCCCGACGGCGCTCCGACTAGGACTCGACCTGGTAGGGCCTGGTGCGCGAGGCCGGCGGGCGAGGGCAAGCATGCAGACCTTGGGCAAATGTTATTTATGCGTAGAGGTGGGTTTGCTTGGGAAGAAAGCCTGGAAGTGACTCCCTCAGGGCTCTTCCAACTCCGCTACTTGAGGTGGACCAGGCTGGGGCACAGGCACTGACCTAGCATCCGCCATTCTGGACCCAGTTTCTTAGCGTGCTCTTAGAGCACTTTCAAAGTCAGGAGAAAGTTAAGACTGAGACGAGAAGATAAAGCGCCAGAAGGATAGTGGGGAGACACGTTTGAGGAGACTGGCCAATCCTGCCGTGCAGCCGGGATCACCTAGTTTTATCCTGGATCCTCCCGCGTAAACCACGTGGGTCAGCATAATGGCCTCCCACAAAGTGACTGAAATAAAACAGCTTGTGGCAATGATCAGGAGCTCGGAGGGGCAGGGATGGGGCGGTTAGGGAGCGTGAGCGCAGTGACAGGACAGGAGGGGTGGTGGCGGCAGGTCAGTCAGGAGCAGCGGAAGAGGGAAGACGTTGGAGAGATGTCACCCAGGGGCCACATTTAGGAGCACAAAGGGTTGGCCGCACTGGAGCTGGTGGAGAGGATGGGATCTTTCCGTGGGGGCTGTGCATTTCCCCAAAACTATGCCTAGTTCCAAGAGCACAGGCGAGAGCTGTTTGTATCTTGCATCGCAAGGATGACAGCCTGCATCTGGGTCGGCCATTGGGATCTCATTGCCGCTTTTGCCTTTGACAAAGTAGGTAATATTGGACAAGTTATTTGGCCTCTCTGTGCTTTTGTTATCTGTAAAGGTGTGTGTGTGGAGAGTGTTACCTGTCCCACTGTCCCAAGAGTGTGAGAAAATGAGAATTCATGATAAGTCAGATTTTATTAGGATGGACGATGGGGGTAACCATGTTTTGGCCAAAAGGTTAAATATTGGCAATTTCGTAAGGTTCAACCAAGTAAGATGCTTGGTACATGCCAAACACTCAAATGTTAGCCAAAAGAAACCTAGCTTTTGAGTGCCTGCTACATCGGTGAGGTGGAATTCTTTCTTTTTTTTTTTTTGAGACAGAGCCTCAAGCTGTGGCCCTGGGTAGAGTGCTGTGGCGTCAGAACTCACAGCAACTCCTGGGCTCAAGCGAGTCTCCTGCCTCGGCCTCCCAAGTAGCTGGGACTACAGGCACCTGCCACAATGCCCGGCCATTTTTTGGTTGCAGCCATCCTTGTTGTTTGGCAGGCCTGGGCTGGATTCGAACTCGCCACCTTGGTTTACATGGCTAGCGTCTTAGCCACTTGAGCCACAGGCGCCAAGCCGGAATTCTTCTTCCTAAGGTCTATTTTCACATCCAAATATTTTCTTTTCACCACACTTTTGCACCTTCCACCAAATCAAACTGATCCTGAAAGATAATGAGTTTGTTAATTCATGAGTACTTAACTGTGTCAGGTACTCCAACAAACTTCCGCTCCCCACTCCCCACATCCCTACCCCTCCCACACTGCTATACTGTAAGAGCCTATTAGGGGTCCTCAAACTTTTTTTTTTTTTTTTTTGGAGACAGAGCCTCAAGCTGTCCCCCTGGGTAGAGTGCTGTGGCATTACAGCTCACAGCAACCTCCAACTCCTGGGCTCAAGCGAGTATCTTGCCTCTGCCTCCCAAGTAGCTGGGACCACAGGCGCCCGCCACAACGCCCGACTATTTTTTGGTTGCAGCCGTCATTGTTGTTTGGCGGGTCCAGGCTGGGGATTCGAACCCGCCACCTTAGGTGTACGTGGCTGGCACCTTAGCCAGTTGAGCTATAGGCGCCGAGCCTCCTCAAACTTTTTAAACAGGGGGCAAATTCACTGTCCCTCAGACCGTTGGAGGGCCGGACTGCGGGCCCTGGGACCAGTCGGCTGCTAAGCAGGACAAGCAGTGGGGGCAAAACACCTGCAGGCCGGATAAATGTCCTGGGCAGGCTGCCCTGCGGGCCGTAGTTTGAGGATGGCTGGCTCTTTCTGTACTCACTCTTCTTCTCACTTGGGCCATGAAGCTGATTATCTTTTCTTTTTTTTTAAAATCAACTTCCCTGAGGTCTAATTTACATATAATAAAACACACTTATTTTATTTTTTAAATTTTTTTAGAGACAGAGTCTCAGTTTGTCACCCGCAGTAGAGAGTGCAGTGGTGTTACAGCTCAGGGTAACCTCCAGCTCTTGGGCTTAGGGGATTCGCTTGCCTTAGCCTCCCAAGTAGCTGGGACTACAGGCGCCCGCCACAACGCCTGGCTATTTTTTGGTTGCAGTTTGGCCGGGGCCAAGTGTGCAACTGCCACCCTTGGTATATGGGGCTGGTGCCATACTCACTGAGTCACAGGCACCGCCCAAAAACACCTATTTTAGAGACAGTCTTTTTTTTAGAGACAGAGTCTCACTTTGTTGCCCTTGGTAGAGGGTCTTGGCGTCACACAGCTCACAGCAACCTCCAACTCCTGAGCCTGGGCGATTCTCCTGCCTCAGCCTCCGGAGTAGCTGGGACCATAGGTGCCCGCCACAACACCCGGCTATTTTTTGTTGTTGTTGTTGCAGTTTGGCCAGGGCCAGGCCTGAACCTGCCACCCTTGGTATATGGGGCTGGTGTCCTACTCACTGAGCCATAGACACCGCCCGAAAACACCAATTTTAATTGTACAGATCAATGAATTTTGACAAACATATACATTTATGTAACCACCACCCAAATCACACTATACAACCTGCCCTTCCATGCCTCTAATCTCAGCAGCACTTTGGGAGGTCAAGATGGGCAGACTGAGCTCACAAGTTCAAGACCAGCCTGAGCAAGAGTGAGACCCACATCTCTACTAAAAATAGAAAAACTAGCTGGGCATGGTAGCAAATGTCTGTAGTCCCAGCTACTTGGGAGGCTGAACTAAGAGGACTGCTTGAGCCTAAGAGTTTGAACTTGCTGTGAGCTATGATGGCATAGCACTCTACCCAAGGTGACAGAGTGATACCCACTATCCCACCTGCCCTTCACTCCAGTTTCCCTCCATGCGCCATAGGAAAACACTGTGCATCATCGGAAAACTGCACTGTCTACATCCAGTACATCCTTTCCGGTTATCTGATTCTAGCCTTTTATTGTCTGAGCTGTTGCTTAGTGGGCTGTAGATAACTGGTAGCAAAGCAAAATAATTCTTGTTTATAGAAATTAAATTCTGGGCCTGGTAGGGTGGCTCATGCCTGTAATTCCAGCACTTTGGGAGGCGGAGGTGGGAGGATCACCTGAGGCCAATAGTTGGAAACCAGCCTAAGCATCATAGCAAGACCTCATCTCTACAAAAAAAAAAAAAAAAAAA